CTGTCTCCCTGTCTTCCCTGCTCCCTCACTGTGTCTGTTCTTGTCACATGTGATTATAGAGGAACACTTATTCTCTTTCTTCGTGTGTGTGTGCATCTCCACGTGTATGTGTCTGCATGTGTACAAACAATACCCGCAGAAAACGCAACATGCATTCTGCTAGGATATTCTCTTTCACACTGTCTCGCTGCCTTTCTTTTGCAGACACCTGTGGTTAGGAGAACACACACACACATACACACACCTGGTGTCTCCCACCTCTCTGCCAGAGTGTGAGTCTCTTTATGAGAGGCCTGCCTGGCGCCCAACTGTGAGGCCCTTTTAATTAGAGCCCTGCTGTTAAGCACAGGCCTCCCCTCGTGGTCTCATCCACTCCCCACCACCTCCTCACACACTCACCACTGTTTTGCTCCTCTCGCTCTCTTTGTTCTTATGACCTGGTTCACAAATAGTATCCACACATATCGAGTATTTACTGTAGGCTACATCATCCAAAATCCATGTAAAAGGAACATTTTCAAAGGACCGCTTGGGATCAGATTTTGCTGCAGCTAAAAGAGGATACTGCACACTCAACGTGTTAAAGTAAATTAAGCTGTAAACTAAACGGTATGACTGTACTGTAATAACACACACCAATGCTGGTGTTAATATTGACATTTCTTACATTTCGTGGGTTGAAAATGGCTCTACTGTTTTAAATGAGCCCTAATCTTGCAAGGCGTGCGCTGAGATAGAGTCGACCGTTTGGGACTAATCTACGTCATGAAATGAAAGAATGTTAATGCCCTCTAATCAGACCCCCCTCTGTAACCACAGAGTAGCATTACCATCACAGCACAGACCTGGTCTCTTCTTTCTGTTGACTTGAAACTAAGCCATCAGCACATTACAAAAGCTGGTGAATCAGTGTTAACGACCGATCATCTGGTGATAGCGATGTGCTTTTCCTACACCGTGACAGAAGTATGTAGACGAAGCAGTAAGTTGCTTAATTGTGCCCATATAGCAGCTGGCTAGTTGGCTAGCTAAATGTTGGTTTGCTGATTTCACCGTGCTTTCAACTTCAACCAGTTAAAAAGAAGAACATTTGTCTTCAGACTGCACAAACTTCCACACACTCGAATATTAGAAAGTTTAATATTTAAATTTGTGACATTTTTAAGCCTAAACAAAGATGGTAGTGTGAATGAAATTAATTTGAGGGAAAACATGAGAAAACTGCACTTCTATACCTTCAGTTCTCACCAAAGAAAAAGCATCTACCTCCTAGACTATTATGATCAATATTAACTGTAATAATAACTTAATCTACGTCACATTTTTAAAGGAGAGGAAACAACGATTTTTTTAATTGATTCCCAAGGGGAAAAACAGATCTTTGTTTCAGAAAACTTTGACATAAATGAGAAAATAAGAGTATGTGCTTTGTCCTATACTGATATGGAGCTCTGAGAAAAATTGGGTTGGAGGGTTATCAGTGTGTGTGGTTGGTGATAAGAAAGAATGACAACACATATGCACTCACATTACACCCTCAGCCGTGTAACTTCTGCACAAAGTATTCCTGGCACTCGAGCTGTTCCATCGCACTCGTAACCTTCATTCTTCTGTTTCCTTTTTCAAACGAGGGCAAACCCCCTTCGAAAAAGGAAAAAAACCAGGTCTCTCGCGTTCATTGATTCTCCTCTGCATCCGCTTGCTATGATCAAACAGCTAAGCTGCTTTCCTAAGGAACTTCCACAAACAGGGGTAAGTTGATTAGAAACAATGGCAGGTTGGTTGATATTGTGTTGAATCAGGAATTCCGAGCTAAACTTCCCAAAGCTGCTGCGGTGTGTGTGTCACCCGGTCCCTGGCAGCAGAGGGGGATTACAGCCATACAACATACACATGATGCATGCTAACCTCGGTCAGAAATCTTAAGCTGGGGGTTGTAGTACAGCTGCCCTTACAGTTGCCATCCATTAAGCCACCGTCCCCAACTGTAAATATCCCCTTAAAAATCGACTCCATATATTTGAAATTAGTTCGGACGAGAAGCTTAAGCGTCGCCTGCATCTGTGACTGCCTGTCTTCAGCTTGATGTGGGAAGACAGGTTGTTTAGGACCGTGGGGAATAAGAGATGGAGAAAGAGCAGGGTGGAGGAGGAGGAGGAGGAGGAGGAGGAGGAGGAGGGAGGCTGCAGCTGTTGTTATGCGTAGTTTAGTGTTGGGCTGGTGTGGTTCGGCAGAAATCCCAGCAGACACAGCCCCTGTTGTCTTAATGAAAAGGAGGACGGACGGACAGACAGACAGACCTTTTTCTCTGCCACTGTCCTCGTCTTCCTTCACCCTCAGTGTAGCAAATATCGCTGCGCTGAGAATGCTCCACCGTCTGCGTCTGTATCGACCCTTCCTCTCCCTCAGAGGACCAGACAGCCAACTCCTGCTTTGGCCCTTTTCCTTGTGTTCACAGAGCGGGAGTTTTTTTTATTATGATTGTTTTTAAAGATTTTTTTTTTCTCTCTCTCCGTCTGCCCTGGGTTGCAGATATTGCCGTAAGCAGAGAGAAAAAAAAAGACAGGGAGAGGAGGAATGAAGAAGAAGAAGAGCGAAAGTTATTTTGCAGAAGGACATTTGCAGAGGCAGCTTTTAACACCCTCACCCCCTTCCCCTCCCTCCCATTCCCTCTGTCCCTGCTTAAACACACTTTCCCTTTTCTCCTCTTTAAATATTGAGAATCGTTGCAAATTCCTCTGGCCTCTTCCTTTTGATGCTACTGGCCTCCCAACGGCTCAGCATTAGAAATGCACTTGGAAGGGCTGAAACTCTCAGTATAGCAACAGCAACAATTCCCCCTTTGCAGGACCTCCTTGCTCCCCCCTGCAGGCCCCAGTAAACGGGTCTGAGCTTCGCTGGTTCCCAAGCCGCACCTCTTCTCCGACTCCCCGTGTTCTGTAGTCTGAAGGCCAAAGCTCTCCCTCTGGGCTGGCTTTGGCTGCTCATTTTCACTCTAACAGAGGGTGGCTCTCCACAGGCCTGGCTTTTTAACCTACACCAACATGCATGCACACACAAACACACACCATGCAGCTGAAACAGACTGTAAGAGTGACTCCTGTCACTTTATTATTTTACTTGCCCCAACTACACACACACACACACACACACACACAGCATACTCATTCCTCCCTGATTGCTTTGCCTTTTTTCTTTTATTGCTCACATGGCTGCAATTTAGATGCTATTTAAGATTGTGCTAACTAGTAGGGGGCAGACGCCTCTGTTGTGGGTAGCTCAAGAATAAAACGCAGCCCGAGTTTAGATACAAAACATGCTTTTCTTAAAGGCTGCATTCCTGATTCTGTGCTGTTTCTGTTCACGTTTCTGTAAAAGGAAAACAGATATAATAGCTGCTGAATAAAGCCAAAGCTGTTTAAGTTGCACTGCATCGAGGCTAACCAACGGTCAAATCGCGGCTGGAGAATTCTCCCCCCGTCGCTTTCATCTAAAACAGGAGAAAGGATCCTGAGCAGAAAGCAAGTGCTGCAGACTGAGATCATAGACGTGTTGCTGCTTAACAGCCCACTTTATGGGATCGGCTCTCTTTGTGTTTTAATGAGGAGGCCATGGATGGGTGGAAAGGCAGAGAGAGAGAGAGAGAGAGAGAGAGAGAGTTGAGTCTGATTAGAGACTGGAAAAGACAGAGAGTATTAAGGATGGTAGGAGAGGTTTAATGTCGCTTTCTCTCATCAGTTCTAATTAAGAGTGAAAGAAGGGTCTGAGGGGTCCTACTTAAAGTGCTACTGTTAATTTTTTACATCACAGGTACACTTCATGATACACTCTTCTCTTCTCCTATCCTCTTCTCTCTGCTCAAAACAATTGTATCAAATTACCACTTTTTTTCTTTCTTTCATTTTATAACCTCAAGAAATAAATCCACATTTTCTCTCCAGGATATTTAGTAGTTTAGCAGTAGGACATTTTTTGCTAACAAAGTTGGTGGTCTGTCTGTGTGTGTGTGTGTGTGTGTGTGTGTGTGCGCACTTCATTCCTCTCTATATTTACCTCCCTCTGAGAAGTGTTTTGAGGCCCCAGTGCAATGCCATGAGATTGGCAGTTTGCTGTGTGCTGATAAAGTCGGCGATCGGCGTGTGTGTTGGTGTGCGTGCGTGCGTGCGTGCGTGCGTGCGTGCGTGTGTGTGTGTGTGTGTTTAAGTGTGCCTGCTGCTGAAAGGGAGGAAGAAGTAAGGAGCGGAGGTTGAACACCTCAGGAATGTTTTTTCGATAACAAGTTCCCCCAGCGCTCTAGAGCGCTATTGTACAATTTTGTGTTTTACTGCACTGTCTACGTATGTTTGTGTGTGTGTGTGTGTGTGTGTGTGTGTGTGTGTGCGTGTGTGTGTGTGTGCGTGTGTGTATCCTCGGGGAGGGGAGTTTCTGCAGCTTTCTTGCCATATTGTGATTGGCCACAAGTGTATTACGCTCTCTGACTCTATTGTTCATTAAACACACATAGAAACACCTGAAAAATGAAATGAACAAAATGTCATTATTGGACATTTGGATACTGTTGAATTTGTTCTCTGTTTCAGATTTATATTTTTTAATACAGATCCAAACATCAGTCACACACACACACATTCCTACTTGTGGAGCGTGACTCCAGGTCACTGCTCATGTGTGCATCAACGCAGCGTTGTGCAACAGCAGAGCCGTCACTAACTCATACGTCCTTTGCCTCTTTCAGCTGAACAGTTTAAAAACACTGCTGCCGTCCACTCCCAACTGACCACAGCTTTAAAGAAAATTAAATTCAGTCCGTCCGGTGGATTTGAAGTCAGATGGAAGGACGGCATTTGCCGACTCTGTCCGCAGCAAAGCATTGCAGCGTGGCCACAGGTGGTGCTCTGTGAGCCTTGACATCAAGCTCACAGTCTGCGATGACCCCGACTGAGCCTAAATATCTTTGTTTTTCTCATGCTGTCTGTCTGACTCTGTTTCCTCGTCCCCAGACATTGGAGATGACGAGTACGGCGAGGGGGGAGAGAACATCGGTCAACTGATCGGTGAGACTCTGGAGCTGTTTGAGCGCCACGGAGGAAGGGATGCCTTCCTAAAAATCAAATACATGGTGCCCACCTACCAGTCCTGCATGACCAAATGAGGAGGGGGATTGTTGACTTTACTCCTTCTGTATCTGCCTCCAACTGTTATCTCATCCCTTTCTGTATCCTAGCCCTGACCCGAGTCCTCTGTTCCGCTCCACTTTGCCGAGCTCAAACCCGCTCCTCCTGCCTCTTTACTCTTTTATATATATACTGTATATTCTGTTCAACCCATATTAAATTCATTGCAATTCATTCTTTGTGTATCTGTGTATACATGTGTATCACTATCACTTGTTAATACAAATGCAAGCTTGACAGAGCAAATTTGCCTCATTGAAATACAGGGATAGTTCATTTTTTTATTGCTCTAGTGATTTATTTAGCTCGCTGATGAGGAATCCTTGATGCACGCTGACTTTATTCCAATCAGATGAACAATGTAACACTTTATTTAAAATGTATGAAAACATAGATTTTCCATTGATTTAAAAGTAAAACTTTTTTTCTTTTGGCTATCAAACGCTGACTGCGTGATGCTTGACTATTGACTGTAAAAAGTTGGTTATTTTTGCTCCTGCACAGAGAGCAGCAGCTGTTGCAAGCTTAAATTTATGCCAGCAGACTGCATTGAATGGTGACACGATTTCAAGGCGGAAAAAGTGTCAGGTTCACAGAAACTTCTCAATATACTCCTGCAACATTCTTTGGGAGCTTTTTACAGCCACCTTTCGAGCCCACAGGGTGTGAGCGCAACTCAAAAGACACATTAGTTTCAGTTAGATAATATGTGATATTTTGCAATCCGTGCGATTCCAGTGATGCAGGCCCGTCTTTTCTGTCTCAGTCCATAAAGTCCTGTTGTACATCTGCACAGTTGTTTGTCCTGCTCTACAACTGCTTCTATTGTGTTATACTACTGTACCCGTTCTGTCACAAACCCAGCTGGAGATGGAGCCTGTCTGAACATGCAGCGTAAGACAGGAATGACGACTGACAGCATTCCTTCAGGTAACACACTTAAACATACATACACTCGTTCGGTACCCATGCTTTGAACTCAAATACGCCCCCTTGGATCGGTGCATGTATCTATGTTTTTCTTTGTTAAAAACGTGTGTTTTTTGTATTGTTTATCTAGACCAGCCAGTACCTCAGTAGGCATCTTTAACCAACTTTGTGTTTCCTCACTGTGCAGATGAAGGCGCTCTCTCCTGCTAGCCATTCTACTGCATTAAAGTCACAGTGGAAACTTCTTCCTTGACACAATGGAAGCTTTGGCAACCATACCCCCCCATACACACACACACACACACACACACACACACAGAGAGAGACATACACTTGCGCATATACATATACAACCCTGCGACCCAGGGGGGAAGCATGGTGTAATTGATTTCTGACACTCACAAGGACACTTGCACCATCTCTCATTGTAAGTCATGTCTCCAGCAAAAGCAACTTTACAGGCCTGCGGAGGAATCTATTCTCAACCAGAAGACAGGTTCATAATACTCATATTTCAACCTCAGCACATCATGAAAAGAATGTTTCTGAATAGCTGTTCCACGCTGCTGAACTCGGCCGTGCTGCCAGATCTGTGCAGTGAAAGACGAAAAGCAGTGCAGCGCGGTACCCTTTCAACACAAAAAACATAATTCACCTTAATTACTGCGGCCGCATAATAAAACAAATGTGGCAACGTTGCAGGCACATTAACTAGTGTTAAAGGGAGGTACAATTTCACCTCTGTTCTCGCTTGATGAGCTGATCGAACTCCGAACAGCCTGCGGTTCTTTCGAACTGTATCAGTGACGCCCCGCTGTCCCGCTTCACCTGTCCAATTTTACTGAGCCACAGGCTAGCAGCTGGCCAGCAAAGGAGGGAGAGCTTAGAGAGGACAACTAGAAAATAAAGGGACAGAGTGCAACACGGTGAACATATTTGTTTAGCTCTTTCTCACAGAATGCTTGAAATATTGTTTTTCAGAACTCGTCTGAAATTGTACTCACAGCTCTCCATCTGTTCATCGTAGTATTTTGCTTCGAGCCAATGTCATACAAGCCATAATATACACAAATTGCCCAGAATTCACTTCACTTCTTCGCACTTAAAGGGCCAGGCAGCCTGATTGCTTTGGCTCAATTAGGTCACATCACAGGCGCCAATGGGCATTAAATGCTAAATAGTGTCCGTTTCGTCCTCCTCTGAAACCCACTGAAGCTCATTAAGAAAGGTGAATATGGTCTCCAATCAAGAGCTGCGCGCACACCTGCGCATGGCCTAAGCACACACACACACACACACACACAATAATGGCAAACAATACCAAACAATAACACCACGCTGTAATTGCTCATGCAAGTAATAGAATGAACTGTGACATGGAAGGGAACGGAGGCAGCCAATGAGGTTATTTGGCCAATCACAGGCATCAACGCATGACTGGTCCAGACGGAAAGGCCTGAAAGACCAAGCATGACATTACTTGAATATCTCCCTTATCTCGTTCTGTTCTCCGACAAGAAAAACAACCTCAAAAACAAATGTAGCATAGAGCAGAAATTGTCCTGATCATCATATTCTAACCCTTTCCCCTTAGTCATAATGAGCAATTGATCATTTTGGGACAGCGGGTGCCCCAACATACACGAGGAAATAAATTGCTTCCCATTCAGAGTATCTCCTCCAGTCATCGAGCACAGGTTATAACAGCATGCTCTACTTCCCAACAGAAGATAGTATCTATCGCAGGTAATGTCACATTATTATTTTCAGTTGAGAGGATTTCCGAGTTGTTTTATTTTTTTTATTCCTGACACGAAGAGCAGACGGTGGTATCGATCTATCACGTTATTCAGCCATTCTGCAACGTCTTTGTCTATTTGCCTTTTGTTAACGTCTCCCCAGCCCAGATAAGTGCTGACAAGATCAAAGGTCCAATATTGCAGGAAATGTGATTTTCAGATGGATCGTGTGTTTGTGTTCTTAATTTATCATGTAGCAGTTCTAAGTGCTACATATATTAACTCTGCATGTGTTGACATGGTCAATCCAGGGAGAAATGCATACAGCGTGTATTCAGAAATCTTGCCTTCAAACGGGCTGTCAGGAATTCCGTAGGGTTGTTACGTCACAACCATTAAATATATAAACCATTTCACATTTTTAAACATAAACATGCTTAAAGTTACAGTGTAAATGAATGTGAATGACATCAGCTAACAGGAAGTAAACATAGACCCAAGCTGTTGTCTAGCAATGCAATTGTCCTTACCGTTTAGTGAAACAAGCTCAAATGTAGCGATTCAGACAGCGTGAATAAAGGGAGATTTAGGCAGACAGTATAGTTGTTTTTTCAACATTGAATCAATATAAACCTGGAAATTAACATAACATGTCTCCTTTAGATAAATCCCGGCTTTGCTAAACATGTTTCAGGTCAGAATTCAAGGTAAAAAACACATCATGTACCACGCGGTCAAGGTGTCCGTGCTTTCAAAGTGGTGCACTCAGGGTCTTACGACCCCAACATTAACCACTGAGTGTGTAGCGTTCCTGCACACCTGCCTTCGTCCTTACATGGGTGAAATAGCGTCCTCTAATCCACAACCTGGCCTAATCCTCACTCTCCGCTGCAACTGGACTCCGAGGGTCAACCCTAGACGATGTGGGGCCTGTGGACACTCACTCAGCGCCGGGGTTATTATTAGCCTAGCTAGCTCAACAACAGCTGCCACTGCCCTGCAGCCAGCAATAACTCCCACTGAGGAACACGTGCAAGCCATTCCACTGATGGAAACGGGCATTGCGCCGACACAGGACGATTTATATGCAATTCATACAGCTTCGCAGATCAACGCAGTGGACTACGCAGACAAGTGTTTACATGTGTGTCTGGCTCGCACCCCACCAGCTACTCCAGCCATCAGGTGAAGCCGCTATCTGCGAATGAGCATTGACTTTCTGAAAGCTGGCATCATGGAGTTTGTCCTTGTGCATCTCCGTCTCACCACATCACAGTGGTGGCAGGCCAACAAAGGCTTTTGTATTGCAGTGAGCTGCGCAACAAAAGCTACACAAACACGCCGATAGCGTTCTGTTGATGGAGGGGTAAAAAGAGATTGAGAAAAGTACAGAAAAGGCTAAGACAGAGGGTGGAAGAAAAAGACAATTATGGAAGAGGAACGACAGCGTGAAAATGTTTGCGGTGTGAGTGTGTGTGTGTGTGTGTGTGTGTTTGAGTGAGTAAACATGATGAATAAAGAGGAAGCCAGGGAGATGCATTCGGCCTGAGACAGACCTGCAAGTCCAAGATGAATCCAGTGCAGAGAGAGATGAAGGAGAAGGAGAGACCGTGTGGGCCTCGTCGAGATGGATGGATGAGGGAAGTGGGGTGTTGTGTCACCTAGCTGTCTAGCTCCGGTCACACCTGAGATTTAGGAGCAGTCAGCTGCCGAAAGAGGAATAAGAGACCAAAGAAGAAGAGGTGGTGGTAGGGGTAATCTGTTTTTCCCTCACAAGTAGCAACTGGCACTTAACGATATCATCGCGCTCCCTTATCTGAACAAACAAGCTGAATGTACGACGTCTCCCCTTGTTGAAAATCAAATAATTCATCCATGTGGGTCACACTTAATGTGATCGAAGTTGGGTTGTGCGTCGCATGTTGTAATGCAACCCGCGTACAGTGGAGGATTTATTAAGCATTCAGAAAGTCTTCATCCGTCTTCCCCTTTATCACTTCCTTCCCTGTTTTCCTCCCGTCCCCTCTACTGCTGAGCTGTCTTTCTTATTCCAGTGTTATAGTCTCAAAAGGCAGATTGTTAGGACCAGCAATGAGAGGGATTGTGCTGTGGAAAAGAAATAAATGCCCCCCTGGGAATGATTTGTCTTGTTCTCGTCTGCCAGGCGGAGTCCACGCTCGTCCAGGGAGCTACTGAGCATGTGCTAGAAAGGACTGCACAATGGAGATTTATCTATCTGCCTCTCCATATGCCAGGTGTCTTATTTGCAGGCTTAATTCAAGAGTGGAGGAATAATGTAAACACTTTTGAAAGAGGAGCTCATATTCTTTTTTTTACCTGTGAAGTCCTCTTTAAAGTTCCCCTTAAGTGTTAATAACGTCTTCTAAAATCACAAATCCTGATTCACTGGAAAGGTTTCTGAGCAATTATCTTAT